ACGAGGGGTGGTTCTGGGATTTAGATCAGCAGATAGGATAAGGGATTGTCCTTATCCACTCAGAGAGTCCAGATCCAAATAGAGATTTGGATTAGGAAACTCCTAATCAGATTAGGAGGGCTGATCTTTATCTACAGATAAGATAAGGGATTATCCTTATCTCTTACAGAGAGTCCAGATCCAAATACAAGATTTGGATTAGGAAACTCCTAATGGGATTAGAAGAACCTCTCTTTAAGGCTATAAATAGAGGAGAAGGGCGAACCCCAGTTAATCCTCCAGACTTACTAATACAAGAGAGAAGACAACACACAGTTGGACTGACGCCATCTTCTGCTTTTGCCTTCTCCTGCTATTGCTGCCATTGCCAGTTCGATCTCCACCTATAGGAGCGAGCAAGAAAGGTTCTTGATATCGGCTTTTGGTAGAAAAGCTTATCTAAAGTCATGCTCACTCGCCCCATTAGATTCTCCTTGGGCGTGAACACCTTCGTTGGGAGTTACTGCTACTCCGTATCAAGTATATCCCTCTCCTACCTTTTGGTTTCAGATCTGGTCTGGTTTAGGTTTCAAGATTGATCTTTGAAAATGCAATTTTCTAAAATAGGGATTGTGATTCCCACATGGGAGAGAGAGAAATTTTTGAAAATTTGCCCAACCTACCTACAGGGTTCGGCCATCCATATGATGGATTTCTCATCCCTTCAAAATGCATAGGCCCTAGAATCTATTTTGGGGCCTAGGCCTTCCTTTGGCCCAGGTGAGTAGTCTTTTGGGAGCTCTCGGCCCAGAGCTTGTGGTGGGTTTGTGGCCCCTGACTGTCAGGTTTTGAGAGGACCCTCAACAAAACAAGAACCCACTACTTGCTTACCATTTTGTAGAGAGACTGGGCCGAATGGACCCTACCCATTACTATCTTTTTGTTAGTTCTTCTGTGTTGTTTTGTTCTTAATGGGCCTTTAATCATTTTCTAAGTTTTCTAAGTATGTTGATGAGGTGGACACCCACTTAAGGGCAGACTTGTAATTTAACTAATTTTAATAAGATTAATAAAAGATTAGAGAGGTGGAAGAGGAGATTATCAAACTACTTATTCTTTCTCCCTTCTCCATCTTTCCTTCTTCTTCTCTTCCTCTTCTTCTATAATCTAAAATATTTTTATTGTCTTTTACTGGATTGAATCACATCTTGGTATCAAATTAGGTCTTCCTTCTCTTTTGTTTTTCTTTTCTTTTCCTTTACACCCTTCTATTGAGAGATAAGTTGCTGATTATTTAGAGAACTTTTATGCCTAGTTGGTAGAGGGTTTGGAGAGTCAGAATCTGGCTGTAGATTGTCAAGAAAGTGGGGCTGCTGATTTTTCCCCAAAACCCTTGCCAACTAGAGAGTTTCCAGTTACAGGTTTAAGAGACTATTTGGGTGTGGTGCTTAAGGCTAGGAGGGTTCCTTTTGATCTCCAAAAGTGGGTGGTTGCAATTGGAAGAGGTTTGGAAAGCTCTGTTTTGAATGGCCACTTCTTTTCTCTTTCTCCCCGGAGACCAGGTGTAGTGAAACCCTAGTTTTGGGACTTTTAAATGTTGGACTGATCACAGTTAGGTCTATAAAGTTTGAAAACCTTGTTTTTTTTTTATTTTCGTTTAGTCAATGGATCAATCCGGAAGTGCGATGAAGTAGACCTCGATGTCTGGGGTTGGTTCAGTAGATTCCATTTTGATAGGTGTGACTACAATCAAGCTAGATGGAACAAATTATTTGGCTTGG